AAAAAAAAAAAAAAAAAATTGAAAATAGAATTACCATATGATCCGGCAATTCCACTTCTGGATATATATTCAAAAGAATTAAAAAGAAGGGTCTTGAGCATATAGTTGCATACCTATGTTCACAGCAGCATTTTTCATAATTGCTAAAACTTACTATGAGCAACCCAAATGTCCATCAAAGGATGAATGAATAAGCAAAATATTGTTTATACATGTAATAGAGTATTATGAAGCCTTTAAAAGGAAGGAAATTCTGACATATGCTACCTTGAAAACATTATGCTAAGTAAAATAAGCCAGTAAAGAAAAATACTATATAATTCCATTTATATGAGGTACTTAGTCAAAATTATAGAGATGGAAAGTAGAATGGCAGTTGCCAGGAGCTGGAGTGAAGCATGAACGGGGAGTTATTTTTTAATGGGTATGGAGTTTCAGATTTGTAAGATGAAAAGAGTTATGGAGGTGTATGGTGGTGATGTCTGGACAACATTGAGTGTATTTAATACCACTGAACTGTGCACTTAAAAATGATTATGATGTTAAGTTTTATGTGTATTTTACCACAATAAAAATTGGGGGGAAAAGGAGGTGATTAGGCCTGAAATTACTAATAGCTAGTCATACATAAAGTTAAGTTCACTATAAATATTAGAAAGAAGCTTAACTGATTATAACACATTCTTACTAAGTTAAAATCTGACATTGATTCCCTGTTTGCTGGCTAGCCATGCTGTGTTTCAGTCATACCTTGAATTCTCAACCTTAGTCAAATTGTAAATCTTTGTTATTGGTTTGATTGAAGCATGGTACAGCTGTGAATGAGAACTATGCAAATCCATCACTACCTCTAAAAATAATCGAAACTAATTCAACTGATAGAGGGCAACATTCTTATTACCCTTATCAGCATAGATCCAACTGGTTCTTCAAAATTTCTAATCACAGATGATACTTCAGTTTCCCTTCCTTGAATTCTTTGAAAGTGGGAAACCAAATATCCTCTAGATAACAAGTAAATAAATCACAACAATAAAGATATTGAAAATAATGCGAAACAAGCTCATTACTACAAAAAGATCTTCAATTGTTTAGTTAGTGAACTATTAGAATTCTCAGATGAGCAAACTGAAATCTTTGGGTACATGGAAAGGATAAATTTAAATGTTTAAATATAAGGTTTAAAAAAATCCTTTGATCAATAATGAGAATTTTCCTATCTAGTCCATGAACTAAATCCACTGGATTCTAAAAAGGAATGGCTGGAAATACAAAAGATTTGGAGTATTGTACTAAAGAAAATGTTAGAAAAACACTATTTTCCTACTTGTTCCCCTAAATCCAAGCACAGGACCCGGTAGATGTACTGGTTCTGTTTTCTCTTAGCTGGCAGCCGGACTTGTGTTACTCCAATCTTCTCCATCTTCTCCACGCTCAATTCCAAAAAAAATCGGGAGGGCTCCAAGATCCATGGACGAGGGCCCCCTTCAAATACCACTTCCTTCACAGACTGCCATGTCACCAATGCCACTTCCACAGGGTCTAGAGCCTGATGACATTTAAATAAATTAATTGCTGATGGGTTAGGGAATTCAACAGTTTTCTAAACTGAAACTGGTTATCTGAATATGCTGAAAATGATGTTAGACTTAATTCGCAAATTAAGAGATAATGTATGTCATACCTCTCACCTTGGTACTAATTCAGATCCTATCATTCAAGCCTAACTGATATGTCACCTTATTTGTTAATTTGTGTCCAGTCATTCCAGATCATAGCCACTTCTGTGGCTCTGGTCCTCTAAGGTCTTATTGTATTTATCTCTACCACTCATTTGTACACCGCCTAATGTTATTTAAACATGTCAAATACTATGTATAAGTCTAATAACTCTTTTTCTTTTGAGATGGGGTCTTGCGATATTGGCCAGGGTAGTCTCAGACTACTAGGCTCAAGCGACCCTCCTGCCTCAGCCTTCTGAGTAGCTGAGATTACAGGAGCAAGCCACTGTGCCTGGCCTAATAATTTTTTTTGTGTTCTATAGTTATATAAACTCCTTAAGAAGAAATAGTATCTTATAACTAATTTTTTAAAAGAATTTCTCTTCCTTAGTGGGATTTAGTACAATGTTGTACACATAAAAGATATTGTATAAATAACTGCATAAACATTTTTTTCGAGACAGGGTCTCACTTTGTCACCCGGGCTAGAGTGTGGTAGTGTCATCATAGCTCACTACAACCACAAACTCATTATTATTGAATATAATTAAAATTAAATATTCCTATCTCTAATGGTAGCATTGAATAATTTATATACAACTCAACAAATATTCACTGATGGCCCATCGAGGATATAGTAATACAAATCCAAACAAGGTCTTACCTCACAGTGGAGCTCACAGTCTGGGAAAGACATAATTGGAGTAGGTAAAGAGCATAATGAGTGTTACAAAAAGACACATTACAGAGTGCTATAGAAGTCTTTTAACAAAAGAAATGAACATAGTCAGAGGTCTCATGGAAGGCCTCTCTGAGAAGGTAAAACGGAAATTATTCCTTTTTCTTAGATGTATAGTCCAAAACTAATCAGAACAATTGAATTGAACTGATATGTAAAAGGACAAATTGAGAACAGGACTATGTAGTGAAACATAATAGTGAGTACAGTGGTATAACAAGGTATAACACATATATTTTTAAACATTTTTTTCAGCATGTAAAGGGACAGATACATGACTAAAGTACTAAGTAGAAAAAGAAAATCACCATCTTACTTCCTTTCCTTTAAGGATGGTTTTCATTCGGGGGAGATCTGATTTGCAGACATTCAATAAATATGAAATAAGTCTAAGGACAATGATAAAAGCAAGAAGAAACCCTAATAAAACTTTACAATGAGCCACAGCCAGGCAAGTAGGATGATTCATCCACCAAGGAAACTAATGAAATATACTTGAACCATATGTTTAATACACATGCTGCACAATCTGCAATGAGGGCAACTTAAAATGCAAATTTTAATGAGCAAATTATCTTTTTTTTTTTTAAATTAAAAACTTACCTTGCGGCCGGTGGCTCACGCCTGTAATCCTAGCACTCTGGGAGGCCGAAGCGGGCGGATTGTTTGAGCTCAGGAGTTCGAGACCAGCCTGAGCAAGAGCAAGACCCCG